GAATAAAACCTGGTCTTAAAGGTGCCACTGGACTGTTTTGGACCGGGGGGCCGTGGAGGGCTCTACAAGTTACCTGGCTGCTTCTTGCTCTGACTGAGGGCTGCTGGGAGCAGGGGGTGGGGCTTGTTGCATGTGCCCGTCCCCTGGGCTCTTTACTGCCGGAGCTCCGCTCCTGTGCGCTCCTGCAGGAAATGACCCCTGGGCTCAGGTAAAGCATAAGAGCCAGCAGGCTTGAAACTTGGCCTTACAGGTCCAGTTTAAATCTCCTGCCTTCAAACTGATAAGTATTTTTGAATCAACACAATGGGAGAAGGTCACATCCTCAAAATCATAAAAGTACAATGTTTAATTTCAAGATGGCCTGAAACGAATTGTGTGAGATGTGTCAAGGACTCCTCCTCCTTGCAGCTGTTAAGCATCAAATACATTGGAAAGCATATTACCTCAACCCACCTCACATACAGGCAAGTTACATATTAGTTAAGCAGATATCCGTATCCATACCATCCAAAATAATGTTCCCGTGGCCAGAGTTGAGTATTGATCAATCGTGGATAGCACACTGAATATAAGGCAGACCAGCACTATGAGGAAACTGAAAATACAAAACAAAACAAAACAAAAACAAAAATTAAAATCACTAAAATGCTTCATTAGAAAGCTATTAGTCAAGGCAAAAATTTAGTTAAATTAAAAATGATTTATGAAAAATACTTCTGTCCTCTAATATTGAATCAAATCATGCTGGGAGAGGGAGGGAGGAAGCAAGCAAGCAAGCAAGCAATATTACAGTGTCATCTTAAGCAGTTACACCCTTTCACATCCACTGAAATCAATTCATGTAATTCTGCTTAGGATGTCACTGTTACAGGGCAATGGGTGCTTTATTCAAACTTCATAGATATTTTTAGAAAGAAATGTAAGTTTGGTTGGACTTTCAATCTGTAAGAAACTTGCTAACTTGTCCGTCAGCCTACTTATATGAAAACTGATTCAGGGAGGTGCTATAATTGCTATAATGCCCTCATCCACTTCCCTCCCTCAGAGGCAAGATTTTTCCCTCGTTTTCTTCCCCGGTCCGACTGAGCTGCCCTAGTAATGTGTTTTCTTCTTTCCTGAAGAACTCTGGATGTCCGGCCCTGTCAAAGTATAATATTTTGGCTGTTTGCTCAGCCCAGGAACCTGAGGGAAGGAATGGGAGCCCTCTTAAGCTTATACACCTCAATTAGCACTCAAGAAGTTTTTGTATTCCAAATTAACAAAATAGTTTATTCAACACAGAGGGGAAAGGTCAGGTGAAATCAGGGGTAAAAATTCTGAGATAACTCAATATAGATAGCTCTGAAGTAAAATCAGTACACACACTGACTTTAGTTCTTACATTTCAGACTACTGAGAGTTTCTTAAGCTTTTCACAGAGACTTAAATCTTTAGGTTGAGAGGCTTTTGTTCCAGCGTTTTCCTCCAGCACTCCAGTACACTTTCTTTGAGTATTCTCTAACTGTTTTGATTTCCAGAAGGTTGGTATACTCTTTCTAGTACCCAAACCCCTTCTCTTGAAACACCAGTACTCATCTTGAGTTTTTAACTGACTCTTAAGGTCTCTACAGGCAGTTTCTAACCACAACAGACGAGGCATCTCTGGGCTTTTCAGAGATATCACCCTGCTTAGACTGGGTAGGAAAATTCCTTCTCTCTCTAGAAGATCCATCCCCTTTCTTTGGCCCAAATAGGAGTCACCATCTAGCTACCCACTCATCCTTGCCAACCCGGGGCCATTGATAAATCTTTAGGTTGAGAGGCTTTTGTTCCAGCGTTTTCCTCAAACACTCCAATACACTTTCTTTGAGTATTCTCTAACTGTTTTGATTTCCAGAAGGTTGGTATACTCTTTCTAGTACCCAAACCCCTTCTCTTGAAACACCAGTACTCATCTTGAGTTTTTAACTTACTCTTAAGGTTTCTACAGGCAGTTTCTAACCACAACACACCAGGCATCTCTGCCCTCTTCAGAGCTATCACCTTGTTTAGACTGGGTAGGAAAATTCCTTCTCTCTCTAGAAGATCCATCCCCTTTCTTTGGCCCAAATAGGAGTCACCATCTAGCTACCCACTCATCCTTGCCAACTTTCCCCCAGTTCTCCTGTGTGTGTTAAACTATTCTCAGTCAAGGCTGAATCCCAAATGAATTCTCCTCCTCAGCATTCAGCTCTAAAATCTTTCTCTGTTCGGCTGATGCTAACCAATCAGATTGCTTGGAGTGGCTGACACTCAAGGCTCTGTCTCTGTGAACAATTAACCCTTCATAGGCCTTTCAGCTGTTTATACAGCACTTCTAAGCTTTTAAAAAGTGTCATCCGTCACACTTGCATAGATCACTAGCTCAATGTGAAACTGCATGCGGAAACAGCTAATCTATGTGCAATTCCCCTTCCCAATCTGACATCCAGAGCTGTAAATACACTGCCTTTTTAGTAAAGGTAAATGCTCACCAACTAGAGGGGATAGAGTCAGCTCCATCCCCATTCCCACCACCACCACCACCACTTCCAAGGCTTGCCAAAAACTGAGATAGCTTAAGCTCTTTCTTTAAAAAAAGGAAAAAAGAACTATGATTGGTTATGATAATTATGATCACAGCCATGCACTGAAGGATACCATTAACACAGTGCAAAGCAATGCATTTATACCTCCCTTGTGCGATCTGTGATGAATGACAACATGACCATTAAAAAGTATTTGCTTGAACAAATGACTCCCCCCCCCCCAGTCTGAGCTGGATTTCCTGAAAGAGCTCAGAAGAACACAGAATGTGGCTTTGTACTTTTTAAGAAAACAAAAACAAGACAGCCAAACAGGATACACATTTCTGCCAGGAATTAGCTGAAGTTAGTGATTTGAAGCGTGCATAGATGAAATTACTTGTCCAGCAGCCATGGAATAACCCCTTATCAGAATATAATATTATTATGTGATTTTGTTTTGTAAGTAATAGTACTAATAGTAATTGGTGAACGAGGCGCGATAAATTTCCTGCCTAACTCCCTCCAAAAATCCACCCCAATATACATAGTTTTAAGGATTTCTGAACCAAACACTGAAAAAATTGCTTTAAGTGCTGCTACCAAACCATCCATACCACCAGGGGTCATTTAGTAGAAAAAGAGGTGCAGGAGCTCATTAGCATAACACATTTGCATATGCCACACACCCCAACATCACCGGAAGTGTGTCAGAAGGCAACACCCACCGCTCAGGCTCCACTGGACTGTTTTGGATTGCTAGCTATTGGGGGGGGCGCGATAAATTTCCTGCCTAACTCCCTCCAAAAATCCACCCCAATATACATAGTTTTAAGGATTTCTGAACCAAACACTGAAAAAATTGCTTTAAGTGCTGCTACCAAACCATCCATACCACCAGGGGTCATTTAGTAGAAAAAGAGGTGCAGGAGCTCATTAGCATAACACATTTGCATATGCCACACACCCCAACATCACCGGAAGTGTGTCAGAAGGCAACACCCACCGCTCAGGCTCCACTGGAGTGTTTTGGATTGCTAGCTGTTGGGGGGGTGGTGGAACGTGCAGTTCTATCCTCGCAGAGGAGGGAGAGCTGGTACCTGAATAAAACTTGGTCTTAAAGGTGCCACTGGACTGTTTTGGACCAGGGGGTCGTGGGGGCTCTGCAATTTACCTGGCTGCTTCTTGCTCTGACTGAGGGCTGCTGGGAGCAGGGGGTGGGGCTTGTTGCATGTGCCCGCCCCCTGGGCTCTTTACTGCCGGAGCTCCGCTCCTGTACGCTCCTGCAGGAAATGACCCCTGCATACCACTGACACAAGAAAGCAGGGGACTATGAATATTTTAAATACATGAGTTTGCAAATGTATAAAAAAGCTTTTTAAAAATATATATATGGACGTTTTTCAGAGAGGTGGCTTGATATTACCTGCGCCTCTGTCCTTGGCCCTGGTATTCCTTGGAGGTCTCCCTTCCAAGTACTTGCCAGGGCCAGCCCTCCTTAGCTTCCGAGATCTGACGGGATCAGGATTGCCTGGGCTATCTGGGTCAGGGCTATAAAAAAACTTTTAGAAGGTCAGAAATCATTGGAAAAATACAAGCGGGAGTGTTAAAATCAGGTTTACACACAGATAAGTCTTCTACACGTCACATATTCAGAGTTAGTTATAAACTGCTGCCGCAGAAGAAAGTGGGCTAAGAACATAAAAAGGTAAAAGGTTTCCCTTGCTCGAAAGCTAGTCGACTCCGACTCTAGGGGGCGGTGCTCATCTCCGTTTCCAAGCCGAAGAGCCAGTGTTGTCCGTAGACTTTCCCGTGGTCATGTGGCCGGCATGACTAAATGCTGAGGCACGTGGAACGCTGTTCCCTTCCCACCAAAGTGATATCTATTTATCTACTTGCAATTTCTTGCTTTCGAACTGCTAGGTTGGCAGGAGCTGGGGCCAGAGACGGGAGCTCACTCTGTCACGCAGCACTGCTGAACTACTGACCCTTTGGTCTGCAGCTTAGCATCTTAACCTCTGAGCCTCCGCGGCCCCAGGCTAAGAACATAGCCCCTGACAACTAGCATTGGGCCAGGCAGTAAACCTGACCACCAGATGGCAGCAAATCAAAGCCTATGGCAACTATCTTCATCAATCAAGAGAAATCTAGATATACAGATTTCTCCTACTGAATTCTCCCACCAAAGGTACCCAAAGGTCATCTCGTCTGTCCCACAATAATGAAGAAGGATCCTCTACTCTCAGCATCCGAAGAGATGAATGAAATGGAGGACATTTTTCCTCAGTAGGGAGTTTAGAGGGGACGAGGAATCTTAAAGAATGAAATAATACTGTGAACAAGAGCCCATTCCTTCACATGCAATGGAATAGGTCCCCTCACGTGGCCATCATTTTTTTATGGATATGAAAACAAACAAACAGCAGGCTCAGGGGGCCACAAAATGCAGGAAGTATAGGCTGAAGTGTAATTAGAAAAAAAAATATGTACCTAGCTGTACTTCTCAAAGCACACTTACCAAAGATGTTTTTAAA